CCCATCTTCATAACATATTTGGAATCAGCACACTTAAAACATAAACATAACCAAAAATCAGCCAAATCCATCCAGGGGTTAAAAAGTTAGCTGGAGGTCCCTTTATGACCGACCGCAAGCACATTTTCCTGCCCAAAACAGTTCCATAGATTTGGGCTGTGAGGTCGGTCTATTTCAGGCTGAAATGGGACTTAGTCTCTGCAGCTGAAATAAGGCTGAAAAAAACGGCTGAAAAAAAGACTAAGTCCCATCGCCGAATGGGACTTGGTCTCTGCAGCTGAATAAGGCTGAAAAACGGCTGAAAAAGCGACTAAGTCCCATGGCGAATGGGACTTAGTCTCTGCAACTAACAAACCAGTAGGGGAGAAGGTAGGGGCTCGTGGGGTGTTGGCGGAAATGTGTAGCCGATTTTAGTTCCATGAATTTGGCAGCACCACATACCGCTATTCTCGTCGAATGATCAAAGATGGCCACCGCCGTTGTTGACAAACGAACAAGACCTTACTCCAGCATTGTCAATTAAGCTGTGTGGTTAGCAGCTTCTGGGAGAATAAATTGCCTACACCTTCCACTTCTGGGTGGTACCTTATGGTACTTTGATTCCAGTAAGCCCCATTTACTGAACCAAGTGGGAAATAGCAAGGCAGGCACAAAGGGTTTGCACCAGGTCTGGGGACACCGTCTTAAAGGGGCCGTGTTCCCAACAAGTCTGGGGACACGGCCTTAAAGGGGCAGTGTCCCAATCTTCCTGATGTCCCAAAAAAGGTGTTTAAGGGCCAGCACCAGTCACATAAAGAGTCCATAAGCCCCAATATGCCCACCGGCAGTCTTAAAGGGCCATACACACCAAATAAAAGTGCATACATTTTCACAATCTCCCAGGGGCCATAGTCATGCGGGAGGAGGCTGGCAAATAGGCTTCTCCACAGCCCAGGGAAGCAGGGCAATTTGCCATTTAAAGGGCCCGTTACAAATAGCAGTTTGTAACAAGGTGTCAATCCATATCTGCCAAGTGACCCGATGTAGGGGGAACAGTCCCTATTCTGCTCTGTGTCGGTGTGTATCATGGTCTCTGAGGACAGGTGTCAATCCATATCTGCCAAGTGACCCTATGTAGGGGGAACAGTCTCTATTCTGCTCTGTGTCAGTGTGTATCATGGTCTCTGAGGACAGGTGTCAATCCATATCTGCCAAGTGACCCTATGTAGGGGGAACAGTCTCTATTCTGCTCTGTGTCAGTGTGTATCATGGTCTCTGAGGACGGGTGTCAATCCATATCTGCCAAGTGACCCTATGTAGGAGGAACAGTCTCTATTCTGCTCTGTGTCAGTGTGTATCATGATCTCTGAGGACAGGTGTCAATCCATATCTGCCAAGTGACCCTATGTAGGAGGAACAGTCTCTATTCTGCTCTGTGTCAGTGTGCGTCAGGGGCTCTGAGGACAGGTGTCAATCCATATCTGCCAAGTGACCCTATGTAGGAGGAACAGTCTCTATTCTACTCTGTGTCAGTGTGTATCAGGGGCTCTGAGGACAGGTGTCAATCCATATCTGCCAAGTGACCCTATGTGGGAGGAACAGTCCCTATTCTGCTCTGTGTCAGTGTGTATCAGGGATCCTTAGGACAGGTGTCAATCCATATCTGCCAAGTGACCCTATGTAGGGGACCAGTCCCTATTCTGCTCTGTGTCCGTGTGCATCAGGGGCTCTGAGGACAGGTGTCAATCCATATGTCAAGGTGTCAATATGTCATATGTCAGGTGTCAATCCATATTCATTGTGATTTAGGAATGTTAGGTGATTTCTGCCCTTTATGGATTAAAACCAGACTCTGTATCAACTGTAATTTTCCATGGGAGTTTTGCCATGGATCCCCTTCCGGCATGCCACAGTCCAGGTGTTAGTCCCCTTGAAACACCTTTTCCATCACTATTGTGGCCAGAAAGAGTCCCTGTGTGTTTTAAAATTCGCCTGCCCATTGAAGTCTATGGCGGTTCGCCCGGTTCGCCGGTTCGCAAACATTTGCGGAAGTTCGCGTTCGCCGTTCGCGAACCGAAAATTTCGTGTTCGCGACATCACTATACCTGAAGCCTCAAAGCTCATGCAACCACTCTATGACGCCCTCAGGAGTGAACCTTTCCATCTCTCTGAAGATGCTATTGACTGTTTTAACAGTCTGAAGAGGGCTATCGCGTCAGCACCAGCCTTGGGCCTTCCAAACTACCAGTTGCCCTTCAAGTTATTTGTTTCTGAAAAATCTGGTCATGCTTCCGGTGTCCTTACCCAAAAACATGGCTCAAGACAGCGGCCTATCGGCTATTTTTCGTGCGTGCTTGACCCTGTTGCTAGGGGTAGCCCCTCCTGCCTCAGGGCAGTGTTTGCTGCCAGTGCCCTGCTGGATAAAACTAATGACTTTGTTCTTGGTCACCACCTCACAGTATTGGCCCTCACGACATCTCTGCAATCCTCCAGCAAGTTCAACCTAAACATCTCTCTTCTCAACGTCACCTTCGTCTGCAAACTTCATTACTGTTACCTGACAATGTTACTCTTCAACGCTGTCTCTCCCTGAATCCGGCCACTCTTCTGCCACTTCCCACCTGGTACAGCTTGGACATCAATCCAGAGATCCGAGCAGAATTACAACTGCCTGCCCTTGCACCCCCACATGATGTGCAATCAGAGAACTTGCTGCACTGCACCCTGTGGTTTAAGGATAGTCTAGGCCCTGATGTGAATTATGAGGAAGAACTGTTTCAACTTGAGGAAATTCAAATCACATTGGCTGACTTATTATGGGACTCCACAGGTAACATGATCTTATTAGTACATCTCCCAGAGAATGTGGCACATCTCTACCATCATTGGGAAACAGCTGTCCCACACATATCTCTCACTAAATCCCTTGACATCTCATGGAAAGATTTAGGCCCAATGGCCAAGTCCTGGAGTAAAACAGCCCAGGAACAATTGACCTCTATGGGAGTAACCAAAAAGGCTATCAATTGCTGTACAGCCGGATACCCTAGATACCACACAGAAGTCTGTGAAGATTTACTTGCCATAAAATGTGACCCTGACATTCCTCATGATTGTTTTGAACAAATGAAAATGGAAACTACCCACTTGCCAACTGTGTACTCAACCCAGACCAAACACTGTTTGTGGACGGCTCCAGGTTTGCTGATGAACAGGGGCAGTATCACACTGGGTATGCAGTTACCAGAGGAAGTCAAGTGTTACAAGCAGCCGCCCTTCAACCAACCAAGTCAGCTCAAGAAGCCGAGCTAACAGCCTTTACAGTGGCCTGCAGGTTGTCTGAAGGCCTACGTGTCAATATCTATACAGACTCAAGATATGCCCTGGGAGTGGCACATGACTTTGGCCTAATTTGGAAGACTAGAGGATTTCTTACAGCCACTGGTACTCCAGTGAAACATGGGGCAGCCATTGAAGAACTGATGGATGCCTTGGTACTTCCTGCAGAAGTGGCAGTGTTGAAAGTGAAAGCCCATGGAAGGCTAGATTCAGAAGAAGCACGGGGCAACCACTTAGCTGATCAGGCCGCCAAGGAAGCAGCACGACAAGGGTGGGAAGTGGACAAAAGAGTGGCCACTGACACAGTACCTATCTACACTATGCAGACATTACCTACAAATCTCAGGCTCCTAAAGGAGCAACAAGCGGCTGCCACTCCCCAGGAGAAACAAAGTTGGAAGAACAAGGGAGCTGTTCTCCGTGATGATATTTACATCATCAACCTTAAGTTTTGCTTACCCAAAAATATGTACCCAGCTGTCGTCCAATGGGCTCATCTGTCAAAACATTTGATGAACTCCCTGATTGATAAATACTTCGAAGCACCAGGCATTACTACTCTGACACAGAATTATTGTAGATCTTGCACAATATGCACTAAATGTAACCCTGGGAAGATTGTTAAAACCGCACCTAACCATCTGGCCAAACCCCAATACCCTTTTCAAAGGATACAGATCCAAATGCCAAAGAGTGTACGTTGTGAATACGCACTGGTCATTGTGGATATGTTCTCAGGATGGCCGGAAGCCTTCCCAGTGGCTAATCTCACTGCAAGGACTACGGCCAAGCACCTTTTGATGGAAATTGTCTGTCGATACGGAGTTCCAGAAGTGATTGAAAGCGACCAAGGAACCTCCTTCAACGCCTCGTTGACACGGGAAGTCTGGTCAGCACTGGGGGTGACCCTTGCATTCCACACGCCATATCACCCACAAAGTAGTGGTAAGGTAGAACGCATGAATGGCACTTTAAAAGCCAGAATGCTTAAGATGTCACAAGAAACTAACATGCCCTGGCCCGAGAGTCTCCCATTAGCGTTGTTTAGCGTGAGGTACACTCCTAGGGGAAAATATAGCCTATCACCTTATGAGATTCTGTTTGGTACAGCACCAAGACTAGGTTGTTACTTTCCTCAACAACTTTAGATCCAGTCAGACGCTATGGTAGATTATGTGACTGCCCTCTCACATGCCTTGACCAAAATCCATGCCCAAGTGTTTTCTTCTATTCCAGATCCTGAGTCGAATACAGGTACACACAAGCTGCTTCCTGGTGATTGGGTTATGGTCAAGAAATTTCTCAGGAAACACACCCTTGAACCACGATTTGATAGTCCTTACCAAGTGCTCCTAATCACAGCAACTTCAGTTAAGCTAGTCGGGAAGAGTTCTTGGATACACGCTTCACATTGCAAGAAAGTGCCTGCTCCAGAAGAAGCTATTCCTGCTGAACCATGATTTTATTGTGTATTCTGTGTTTCCTTATGCTGCTAAGTTTTGCATGGGCCCAACAGGTGGCCATAACCAAAGATAACCATGTTTACACTTTCTGGTACAATTCTTCTAACACAGTGTAGCTACCCACACCTTTTACTACTGTGACATTGTTGCTTGCACCTTCCCACAAACACAATATGCTGCCATATACAAGGATATAAAAAAAGATCCATACATTTGTGTGACTGGAGGGACCTGGGGGCATCATTGTAGTTCATGGAAAGCAGCTGGGTGGAACACGGGTAGACCATGGGGCTATAAACCCCAGAGTGCATTAGACAGAATTGACAAAGACGGAAAACCTTTACTCTCCAGAATGACCTTAAGTAAACCTATTGGGTCAACTCCCATCAAACTTACCTTAAACATAGAGCACCCCAGCCCAAAAGATGCAGGGGAATATGTAATGGGAATGTACTGAAGGGGAGGCGGCTCATATAATAAACTGGGGACATTTTATCTGCAAGACATGCTTACCTCGCCAGATTGGGTAGGAGCCACTCACATGACTATTAACCCATTGAAACCACATATTAAAACTCTACATGACATGGTAGCTATAGCCAACCCCACCTTTGAAGACATCATGGCAGTAGAAACTGGGTTCTCAGATACAAATTTGTGGCTAGAATGGATAAGGTACAATGCTAACTCACACAATTAGACCAATTGTTATGTATGCGGAGGAGCCAGACCCCATCTGGGTACAGTGCCTTTAAGTTTGCCTCCTGCAGTAGAATTATGTGTTTTAAGCCTTTACACACAATCCACCACAAATTCCTCAACATGTGAATCATGGAAAAAGGTTTACCCAATCACCCAAGGACACGTCAGACCACCCAATGGGGTCACAGTATATCCAGGTAATTACACTTGTTATTCAATACCTAAGAACACTGGTGTATATTTGGGCAAATTCCCATCTGGATATTGTTCAACCTACCACAGCCCGCCCATATCACTGTTAATGAATCATGCAAAAACAGTTGGGGACATATATTGGTTATGTGGCGATAGACAGTTGAGGTCCCAACTAGTAGGACAGTGGTGGGGGGAATGTACCTTGGCCAAGGCTATAATGCCCATCCACATCATTCCGGACGGTAGTCATAACACATTAGACCACACACACGTACACCCCAGAGCCAGACGGGAAGCCTCCATCCGATGGAGTTTCGACCCCCATGTATATATTGATGCCATTGGCGTGCCAAGGGGGGTGCCTAGTGAATTCAAAGCAAGGGATGAGGTGGCAGCAGGATTTGAATCCTTGATTCCAATGATAACTGCCAACAAGAATGTCAATTGGATCAATTACATTTATTATAATCAACAGCGATTTGTTAATTACACTATGGTTGCCCTACAGGGCCTGGCAGAACAATTGCAAGCCACCACCCAAATGACATTCCAGAACAGAATGGCTCTAGATATGATCTTAGCCGAGAAGGGGGGCGTATGTAAAATCCTCCCGAAACTATGACATGCTGCACATTTATTCAAGACAACACTGGGCCCAATGGTAAGGTAACTATGGCTATAGAGAAGCTAGATAGTCTCTCTGATGAATTGAAAAAGAACTCAGGAGTCACTGATACTTGGGACAGATGGTTTGGATGGATGAATGGTTGGCAAAGAACCCTATTCCAGGTAGGAACGGCGGTTCTTATGACTATCATTTTCTTATTTCTAACCTGTTGTGTGCTTCCTTGTGTACAGAAGTACTTGCAGAAAACGGTAGGGAAGACTATAGATGACGTGACCCCTACTTTCCTACATCAAGATATCACTGACCTACAATGTGACACCCCACACACACCCCTCCAATCCCATCAGTTCAAACAGACAACTGCATTCCTGTAGGGACAGTGTAGGGAAAGTGTCTGTCTTTACGGGCAAGTCTCACGTGTGGAGATGTGGTGGACAAGCCGCCGCGGGTTACCCACGGAGTGAAGTGTTCGATGCTTTTTAAGACAGATGAGCTGCAGGCAGCTAGGGATACGCTAGGGACAGTGGCAGTTGTTATGTTAAATAGCCATTTTAAGGGGGGACTGTTGTGGAAATAAGGTCTTGATATATTTCCTAGTTAGTAAAATGTCTATTTACTCATCTCACAAAAAAACAGTATATAAGCTATACACGCATATTTAGTCAAAATGGCTGCTAGAAGCTTCTAACCCCTCCTCCCCAATAACATCGACTACCTCGTGCAGCAAGATGGCGCCGGGAAACCGTGGGAGACCCTCATGGTCCCGGTGACATCACCCTTAGTAGGCAGAGCATTAGGAAGACCACTTAACACCTAACCAATTATTGATGTATTATTCCATGTTATCTCTGACGATGCTTATGATGTAATTTTGCTTTAAAAGGGACCTGCCGTCCCCTCTGAATAAACTTTCCTCAAGTTATTCAACACCTGGAACCTGTGTCTGGTGTGAATTACTTCAGGGAGCGTGCACGCATTGTTTCCATTAATTTGGCCAGGGGCAGAATTAATTGATTGATTTTTCCATTTCAGGCGAGTCTTGGGGTACCTGCTACATCCACAGATCCAGCTAGTAGAAGCTGATGGTAAAGCACTGATTTATGTCCCACATGGAAAGATGGTCAATCATGCTACATACTGGATATGTGGGAAAGATTTGTTCTTCTCAAGGTGGTAAAGTTGCCCAGTCACTTTTATCCATCAATGTGGAAGAAAGCAGTACCCGATCTGCTTCTCCAAACTTTGTCTGCATTGATTACAGGCACCTCAAAACTCAGTGAGGCAGAGCACAACAGTGATGAGAGGCAGTAATAAAAGGCAAAATGGAGAGCAGCAGCAGGAATCATTTCATTTTTCTCCCCAGCTGTGTAAAATGACCACTGCACTACTACCACCACCACCATCACATTTTAGAATATTTTTTTCGACAAAGAGTTACAAAAAAAGATTTGGTACACTCGGTAAAAGCAGTTTACTTGTGCTGCAATATATTACTAAGTATATATATTACATATAATTATTAATAATTATTTAAATATATATTACTAATTAAGTGTGCTTTATAAATAAATCATAACAGTTACTCCGCCCACTTCAGTTGTAGACTACTAGTTCACACAATTTCCCCAGAAATTGTAGCTTTTCTAGTTATTAAGTGTTCTTGCATAGCAAGACCACTTAATGTTATCTCACATATATATTATTCTTATTCTTATTATAGCCAAATTTACCACCCTAACTCCTCCCACAGTTTTTACACTACATAGACAGAAATATACCGAAACGTGCAGATTGTTCCCGATTGGATTGCTATTACTTTGTGGAACGTTTCGCTGAATGGTTCACGGAATATGGTCGTTCTTGTGGCAAAATTGGTCCCATAGGAATGAATGGCAAAATGTTCAGAACTAGAGTGGGAGCTGGCAAAAGCTGACAAATCAGGACATGATTTCTAAACTGCCACCACTCTCTCATTTTCAAGCCCACCTACACAAATCTTATATCAAAACGTTCAGCTATCCCTGCTGCCACTATAAATGTCCACGGCTAAGCCATAGTCCTGATAGTTTGCACAATATGACCATTTGTTTGCAACTCACGCAGTCCATTGACATTCATTGAGACTCCACTCTAGCCAGCTCAAACTTGAAGGGCAACTTCTAAACTGCGACTGTGCTTTCATTTTTAATACTTCAGAGACATACTATGCATCAAAATGTAGGTCTTGGTCTTGTGATTCTCACAATATAAAGCTCTTTGCTGTAGTATGTATAGTTTTTAAAATATGACCATTTGAAGATGGCAACCGCCAAAATACTCTGACCTGTGCCAGGCTGGAACAGCAAGTGATGTCATAGACAGGGCCTTTTGTACACCTGCTAATGTTTTTAGAAATGAATGTTTTAATGTAACTGTGAAGCACTTTGGGCAACAACGTTGCAATTAAATGTGCTATATAAATAAATAATAACAGTTACTCCACCCACTCCAGTTGTAGACTACTGGTGGAGGCAAGAACACTTCACACAATTTCCCCAGAAATTGTAGCTTATCTAGTTATTAATATATTACTGAAGAAAAAAGCTTACAATTTTCAAAACACAGGCAGTGGCACAATTAAGTAAAACTAATAGAAATCAGTTAATCAAAGCACTGGTAGTAGCAAGGCAAGAAGAATGTTTTATTTATTTTTTTTCTATTTGTTTTATTTTCATAATTCATCATATAATAAGTGGTACATTTGTTCCTGTCCAACCTGCTGCTGACAACTACTGGCACTATCCTCACCATCCCTCCTGCTCTGCCTAAGGGTGCGATAGCAGATCAGGGAACATCTGCAGCTATATTACAATTGGGCCTGCTTCCTGGTTTAGTACGTTCTTCTGCATTTTCTTTCAACAATACAGACCTATTAGATCTTTGGAGCTGTTGCTTCATATCAGCGCTAGTGAAATGACCCTTCACTTGCTCCCTACTCACTTCCTTGCCACACAATTTGCACTTTACAATGTAGCCTTCCCAGAGAGGCACTCAAAGTGATCCCAAAGTTTTTTAATAGGCTAGTTTGGCCTATTACATCAAGTATCAAGAGGCAAAGCTGTTTCAGATCAGTCTTAATTTGTGAGTTGAAACATGTTCAGCTACTTATTTTTCCTTTGCTTATCATTGAGCAGTAATTTTCATGATTATTATTTATTTATAGTATAGTTCACATTTGACATAGAACACTTGATATCAGAAAAAAACCTTTCCTGCACATTTCCTGTTCTGTATAAGGAAAATCTATAAAGCATTGGGCATATTTCCTTAACCATGTAAGGACCAATACTCTTTTGAGATGTGATACTGTTGTGACTAAGGCCTTTTTGGTTAATTTTGCCATGCATTCATTGTACTATTATGTCACCTTTTCTGTTGAAATGTACTTATAAATATTAAAGGAGAAATATGGCTTTGTTGATACCCTATATACATATACATTAAAAAGTGAAATAAGAATAAAACATAAACAAATGTCGAAAATAAAAAAAAATCTCAGTTTTACAATTAAGAACTGAAAAAAGATTCACTAATTAGTCATGATTGTTAAAAAGCTCAATATGTTATAAAACAATTTATAGTAGTAACATAATCCAAATTTCTTACACTTTTCATTTACTTATTTTATTTTAAACCGTAGAAATATTTAAATTGAACCTGCCATGTCCTTATTGACTTTGCGTCTTTCAAAAGAGTTTAAAATTACATCTTTACATTGTGCTAGCAGTTTTGCTAGCAAATGTATATATTTGGAGAAAACTCTATTTAAAATATAGTTTTTTTCTTTTATCTGTCACTCAATTCCTCGGTACACACTCAATGCTGAGAAACTGGGAGAAAGGAAGAGCAGAGGAGACCTTCCACAGGTTGTCCCTCTGCTCTCCACCAATAGCAACCACAGTTCGCGTGCTTTGGTTACTATTGTAACTTTACCCGGCACTGATAGAGCT